ACCAAGATTAGGAGAAAAACAACGTTAACCTTTTTGTGACCGAGAATAACCCAAAAACACACAATTGAGGAATTTTGGATCAAGTTTAGTTACCTCAGGACGAACATCAAACACAAAACAAGTGCAACCAAAAATTTTAGGAAGTAAAGAAAAGAGAGATTGTGATGGAAAAAGTATAGAGTGGGGAATCTCACTATGTAACGCAGATAATGACAAGCGATTAATTAAATATGCAGCAGTAAGAACAGCATCAGCCTAAAAAGTTTTAGGAACTTTCATTTCAAACAGTAACACGGGCTGCCTCCATAAGATGACGATTTTTTACATTCAGCTACTCCATTTTGTTGTAGAATAACAATACAAGAAGACTGATGAAGTATGTTATGTTTATTCATAAAATTAGTAAAAAATGCAAAAAAATATTTTTTAGCGTTGTCACTTCTAAGAATGCGCACACAAGTATTAAATTGAGGTTTAGTTTCAGCACAGAAATTACAAAATATAGAAAAGACTTTAAATCTAGATTTCATAAAAAACAACCATGTTGCACGAGAATAATCATCTACAAAGGTAATAAAATATTTAAAACCAGAATTAAAGGTAACTGGGCAAGAGCTCCAAACATCAAAATGAACAATTTCAAAGAGGGCATGAACCCTTTTATTTAAATGAGGTAAATAAACATTACGATGATATTTAGCAAACTGACATGACTCACAATAAAAATTAGATTCTATACTAGGACATAATTTCCTAAGAACTCCTAAAGACGATGACCCATACGGCAATGATGTTGGAAAGGAGACACTATTTCATTCCTAGACGCAATAGAAGCTTGCAGAAGTCCTTCTTCTTCCAATAGATACAGCCCATTAAATACTCTACCTCTACCAATAATCCTTTGTGTCATTAGATCTTGAAAAACACAAGAATCAGAAAAGAATGTTACTGGGAAATTTAATGATGAAGTGATTTGGCTAATGGACAACAAATTTAAGGAGAATTGAGGCAAATATAAAAAGAGGATAAAGGTAAGGTTGAAACTGGGGTAGTACACCCGCTGCCCTTAATATGGACAGTAGAACCATCAGCGAGTGTTACAAAAGAATGAGAACTGGGTAGACAAAAAGAGGAAAGGATATTTGAATCCCCAGTCATATGATCAGTAGCACCAGAATCAATGACCTAACGCCTAGAAGAAGAGGAAAGACATGCAGTAGGATTACTTTTTTGGACTGAAGTGGCTGTAGAGGATGTAAACGGCTGTTGGAAAATTTGAAACTAAGTATACTGAATAAATTCCTCATCACTCATACGCACAGTACGTTCTTCTTTCTCCTGAGTAGCTGTATCAAGTTGAGACACTGAGTTAGCGAAGCAAGAATGACCTTGTGAGTGAAAAAACAACTGATTCTGCGGAGGATGAGTGCACTGATTCTAATAATGGCCAAATTCGCCACAGTTGTAGCACTGTACAATACCACAACCTCCACTACGCCCACGGCCACGACTACCTCTACCACCATTACGACCACCACGGTGACTGTATTGGGCTGCCAAGGCAGAGTGGTCAGGAAACTCATTTTCTATAGTGCTCTTGAGCTCCTCAAAGGAAGACTACATAACTTTGGAGAAGACATCGGTAAGATTATCAACCTGCATACTTAACAGAATTTGAGACCGAACTACCTCATTCTGAATCAAGTCCAGAGAGTCAACTTAAAGCCATGAGTTTCTTTTGTTGCACTATCATCTCGTCAATAGTTTTGCAGGCTAAAAGAGATTGTATCTCCTCAGTATGCTTCTTAAACTCCAAAAAATAATCCATTAGTTTCCGCTTATTTTGTTTGGGTCGATAAACTTCCTACAAGAGAGCATATAATCGATTCAAATTATCAGATTTCTCAAAAATAAATTGCAAAAATTCCCACAACTCCTTCACAGTTTTGCAATGGGTAATAATTGTTTGTATTCGCCTATCAACAGAGTTTACTAGCAAAGCAAAGATTTTTTTGTCACGTATCTTCCATGTGTGAACATCCTTAGAATTGACAGGTGCTGTTTCAGTCAAATGATTATCCTTTCCCATTCCATCCAGGCTAATCTCAACCAAATACTTCCACTCCATATAGTTCACACCATCTCCATCCAACTTAACATCAGTAAGTTTAGAAAGAGATACAATCTCCATGACAGCCCCCTTTTGCTGTGCATCCTGCACATCCTAGCTATCACGTTCAAATATTGTAACACCGCACTCAAATTGTAAACGTTGAATTGCTGCATATTTTGGTCACCGGAAAAATTTTCCATCCCCACAGCAGCCATGGTTGGCCTTTTCTGAAGATGCTGTTTTTTTTTTTTTAGGCAGCGGCAGCAGCGCGGTGGTTGTTGTGGTGCGGTGGTGGCGACTAAGGAAAAAACCTAGAAGGCTCTTGATACCATTTAGAGATTAAGAGAGAAAGAGCATAGAGAGAGACAAATTAGTGTGCTGGAATTAGATACTCTACAATGTGTAGAGACCCTTATATTTATAAGGATACATATGTAACCCTACTGGGCCAAGCCCATTATTATAATACTAAAATAAACTCTAATCCTAATACGTCTATTCTAACTATTCATAACACACCTCACTCGGTCTTGTACCCTCATCAGTCTTGTCTTTAGGTCTACTTGCTTTGTTCATAATCTTAATCTTGGACTTGACAAACTCGCACCACACTCTGACAAATGTGTTTTTCTTAGTTACACTAGGTGTCAGAAAGGTTATAGATGTTGTTCTCTAGCCCTATGTTATTATCTTGTGATGTCACTTTATTTGAATTTGTCCATTTCTTTAACCCTAATCCTCCTACTACTACTTTTGAGTCTGTTTCTTTACCTCTTTCAACTTCCATTCCTTACCACTATCCCCCACCAACTTCATCTTCTACTCCTGAAGAACTACTTCCTTCGCGTCCTTTGCAAGTTTATCACCGTCAACATCAGCCACCATCTATGCAACATCCAGCTATTAAAGGGCCTCTTCCACACTTGTCTTCAATGCCACTCACTCTCTCCCCTCCAGACTTGACTCTAATGCTACTCATAATCCGTCTCCTCATTATGTCTCTTTCATTGTACATGTCTATCTTTTTTATCATCTATTTCTATTCCTAACACTATAGGTAATGCTCTCTCACATCCTAGTTGGAGATAGGCAATTCTTGATGAAATGTTTTCCCTTCAGAACAATGGTACTTGGAATATTGTTTCTCTTCCTCCTAGGAAGTTTGATGTTGGTTGCATGTGGGTTACAATATCAAAGTTGGTTCTTATAGTAAAATTGATCTCCTTAAGATTCACTTGGTAGCCAAAGGTTATAAGCTGATATTTAGCTTAGACTATGATGATACTTTTTCTCCTGTAGCCAAAATGACATCCATTAAGTTATTCTTATCGATGGTTGTTATCCACCATTGGTCCCTCTATCAATTTGACATAAAGAATGTTGTGTTTCATGGTGATCTTGCAAAAGAAGCCTATATGGATCAACCTCCTAAAGTTGTTGTTGAGTCTTCCAGATTTTTTTGTCATCTCTGAAAATCCCTGTATGATCTCCAACAATCTCCAAAGGCATGGTTTGGTAGATTTAGCATGGAGGTTTAACAGTTTGGCATGGTTCAGTGTGAAGCTGATCACTCTATTTTCTATCATCATTCAACCTCAGGTTGTATTTACTTGATTGTGTATATTGATGACATCATCATAGCAGGAAATAATCACCTTGGCATTTAACAAGCAAAGCAGTACCTTTGTCATCACTTCCAAACAAAAAATCTTGGGAGACTTGGATACTTCTTAGGAATTGAAGCAGCACAATTCAAAAGTGGTATTGTGATTTTGCAAAGGAAGTACGCAATGAATATCATAGAGGAAGCATGATTGATGGGGGCCAACCCTATTGATACTCCTATAGACTCTAATACCAAACTTTTGCCAAGTCAAGCAAAGCCACTTTCAAATCTAGAAAAGTATAAGATTTGTTAGAAAATTCAACTATTTAACTTATACTCACCCAAATATCTCCTTTGCAGTCAATGTGGTAAGTCAATTCCTCAACTCTCCATGTGATGGACATTGGGATGTAGTAATTCACATCTTAAAATATATTAAAAGAGCTCCAAAAAAAGGTCTCTTATATGGAGAAAAAGGACATACTCAGGTTGTATAGGGTATTCAAATGTAGATTAAGCTGGATCACATAGTGATAGGATCTTTACATCTAGTTACAACATCCTTATGGGTGGTAATCTGATTTCTTGAAAAAGTAAAAAGCAAAATGTAGTTGCATGGTCTAGTGCAGAAGCAAAGTATGGAGTCATGGCTTTTTAGCCACTTGTAAAATTATTTGGCTTAAACAATTGCTCAAAAAATTGATATTTGGGGAGGTTACACAAATGTTACTTATTTGGGATAATCAAGCAGCATTGCATAATGTCTCAAATCCAGTTTTTCATGACAACTGTATATTGAGATAAATTGTCACTTCCTTGGAGAAAAAATCTTATCTAAAGACATTGCTACTAGCTCTGTGAATTATAATGATCAATTGAAAAATGTCTACAGCAAGTCATTAAGAGGTCCTCGGATAAGTTATATGAGACAAGCTTGGGGCATATGATTTTTACAGTCCAACTTGAGTATTTAAGGTGACCAAAGGTGTAGTGAAATACAAATAAATTAATAATAAGCTAATCTAAACACACTAATTGCTTTCTAAACTTAAGTATTTAAGGTGACCAGAACTTTAACATTGAGCAAGTGTATGCAATAAGATTGTCTCTAGGAAAATTAGCTGCAATTTGAAAACAGGAAAAAAAAAGAAATTCAACATAAAATGTATACAAGGACACAACATGGCACACAAACAACGTATCAGCAAAATTCTTTCTTCGACATACAAATATATAGTCTAAGGAGAACTATGAAATCAAAATCAGAATCTTCATACTAACCTTTAATTGACAAGATTCACTGCATTGAGAAGTATCCTGAAAGGATGTTGCATCATGACTGTCTTCCATGTGCTCCATCTAACCAAAGAAGCAACTTATTCCACAAACAATCCAAAAGATAATATACTTTGATGCAGTATCAACAAAGTTCTGGCATAATAAACTAAACAATAAATACTATTTATTGTTAAAATCAATTACTTGAATGATCTTCTGGCTTATATATGATGTGATCTCTTCATGCCGAGTTTCAAAAGTTGAAACAGAGTATTGCGCAATGCATCCCAGAGATTGCAAAACTGTTGGTACATTCCACTGGCTATATAAGGAATCAATTAGTCCCTGGGCACATGCAGAAAAACAGAAGTGTTAACCAAAGAAACTTTGCTCCAGTTTCTTAGTGAAAAAACTACTTAAGACTGCATCTGAATATTGTTTCTTACATGAGATTTCATTACTTATGAGTCCTTTATCTATTTTGATTATGTAATTTCAAGATTTCAAGAACAGATTGGCAAAAAATTTAAGCTCAAATCTTTTTCTCCAAAACAGATTTGGCTTTGATGATGCCCAAAGCAATAAATATTTGCTTTTAGAGTGAAAAAGTAAATAAAATTTTGTTTTAGTTAGCAGCAACGAAACAGATAGTTGTTTTCCTTTACAACTATTACAAATATATATTGCTGAATGTAGCATTCATGAAAAACGTGTACCTTGAATAAATCTAAGAAAACTGATTGTTCAGAACTTAAAGCAGCAATTGCAGAAACCGCAAATTTGGCCTGTCGCGGAGTTCCATCCAAGCACATTCTCTCAAGAAATGGATAAATCTCGCTGCAAAGTGAAAACATAAAGAAACTAAATGAGAATGGCAGCCAAATATTAGTTCACTTTCAATCAAAAGGGTTAATTCATGTTAAGATTCAGAGAGAAAGAAGAAAGAAAAAGTTAAGAGAATTATTCATATATTGACTTATCCAAAATATCAGAGATTTACAATACATGCATATCATCTTGTGTGTGTGTGTAGAAGGGGCATATACAGTGAGTGGACCTTTTTATACGAGAGACAAGAGGAGATAATCTTGACCGTGCAAGCATATATAAATGGTTAAAATTTAAAGTTTTTTAATACATCACATGATTTCGTGTTTTAATCTTAACCATTCATGATAAAATACTACAGTTAATCTCCTTTAATATCAAGATGCATTAACATCAAGTGTCAAACTTAATAACTTTTTATAAAATACAATATTAATCAATCTAACCGCTAGTTTGAAGGTTTTTATTATGTAGACTAACCTAATAAAATTTCATTCAAAAACAAAATTAATAAGTACTTCATTGCATTACTTTATTTTAATGTGTAATAAGTTTTAAAATATAAATAAATATTAAATTTTATATACCATATTCACAAATATCTAAATTATGTAAAAAAAAAAATTTATATACATGATTACAAAAATAATGTAAGATGATTCAATACTTAATTGGGTATTCTTGCATTCTATAAAAAGTTATTAAGTAGTGTAAATATCTAAATTTGACACCTAGTGTCAATAGATCTTGACTCTATATATACATACATTATGATTGAGCCCAAACTATCTACCTAACTGAATCAATTAGTGTGTAAAAGTTTATTGCAGTTGTCTGTTGTTCTAATCACCATAGCAACCAACTGAATAACAGTTGAGAAGCTAATTATTACAAAGATATTTACTCCAATATTGTTGCCACAAACTCAAAGAGGTTGAATGCTTCCATATTCAGTTTGTCTCTAAGATAATGAAATCTGGTAGTTTCCAAGGCTTTATCAAAATATCAGCAATCTAATCATGGAAATGAATGTGTTAGATCATGTTGATAACTATTCCTTTGACAAAGTGCAGAACAAATTTTCCATGTGTTTTGTGCATAGCGAAGAAAATGATTGTGAGCCAGGGAAATATTGCTGAAGTTGTGACAATATATGATGGGAGTTGATGTAGGAATCATTAGTTCTAGTAGTCAGAGTGATTGTATCCATAGAATTCCTATAACAGTGGTTGCTAAACTTCAATATTCTGCCTCTGTACTAGACCATGCAACAAGGTAAACAAGATTGTCCCTAGCAAAGTGACTCACACTAACCATGTTCTTGGTAATTGAAGGAACCAAGAAAAGGTTGCGAAGAAGAAATGAAGTGTGATTTAAGTGGTGACTAAAACTGTTAGCTTCCAATTGAAATAATGGGCAAACCTTGACTATTTCCAATAAGGACTAGATTTGTTCCTTGGAATGGCAAAGGATATAGCAGATTTTCATCACGATGTGTGATATGATGAGTGGCACAAGAGTTAGGAAACCAGTCATGGCTTGGCACTTCTGTTGGTACTGTAGAAAATGTGGAGGAGTTGACTTGTCAGGCATAGGAGTTGGTGCACTAACATTCTATGATGGAAATCATGACAGAAAGGGAGGAAATGGTTGAGAACTATACTGTTGATAGAAAATTAGTTGAGAAGCAATGTAGTTATGATCAAAGCAATGATGACATGAGAGAGCATCATGACCATTCTTGCGACATACTTGACACGTAACAAATTCCTAGCACCACGTCCTTTGCCTCTATAAAGACCTCAATCTATGCTAACACGACCATAGCCTCATGTAGGGTTTCCATGATTGACAAAAATAAATATTGGAATCAAAATTAGATGATTCTTGATGCAATGAACTAGTATTAACAATGTTCGCATTATTAATGTTAACTATGAGTTTGAGCAACATTTACTGAAAATGCATCAATCATCATGTTTTGACAAGACTTCCATTATGGCTTCATGTGCAAGGAGCAAACCTTCAAGTTCATTGATTGAGTTTGGCTCCAATATGCTAGAGATAGAGTTCACGAACATGTAATCATCTGTTAAGCCATTGAGAATAGCATCAATATGATCTCTTGGAAGAACTGAGTCATCAATGGAGATCAATGAGTCGATTATAGCCTTGATGCAAAGCAAGTACTCAAATGGATCTCATGACTATCTCTGTGTTCCTTTAGTTCAAACTGCAATTCACGAGCACAAGCTCGAGTGTGAGAATCAACGAAATCATGAATCACATCCCAGAGTTGCCACAAGTATGTGCAACAACCAACTCTATGCAGCTAATGATAATTGCATCAACTTGTTTCCAAAGAAGAATATTCTTCTCATCAACACAGACTGACATTGAGTGAGAGAAGGTAATTGGGGTTGAGAAAGATGCCGATGGTGGCACACCAACTAGAGAAGGCATGGCTCTAGTTCAAAGACAAGTTCTTGATACCGGTTTAAGATCCAAAGAGAAAGAAGAAAGAAAAGGCAAACTAAATAATAGTTGGAAAACTAATTACTACAATCATATTTACTCTAACAATCCAAGCTGAAATTTCTCCAACAAAACGTAAAAATTCTACTTAATCCAAAAACTTCATCATCTTCACCATAAAAATAAATTGTTAGATCATTTGGCCAACTTTACATCTTGGGAAAGCCCAAAATATCAGTGAAGAAAGGCCTATCTTTGAAAATCAGCAAACTTAAAAAACAAAGGCGCAATATCTACATTCTACAACTTACTATATGTCTTGAAACAAAACCCCACTAATTGCATAAAAAATTCAGAAAGGCAGCATTTTCAAAGAAAATACAGATAAAACTACTAAAAAATTCAAAAATAAATCATTCACAAAAATATTTCAAATTAAAACAAAAACACATTTACATGCCATAAAAATATTCTGACATGGCAGCATAGCAGTAACAGTAAGTTTTGTTAAAGAAGACTTTCTGTTGTATAATTCTGTTATAAACATTCAGCATATATACAAAATATTAAAAGAAGAAGCTACCTAAGATTGAAAGATGTGTGAGAGCCTGCCTTTGCTATGACCTCAATCAGCTTGTCATTAACAGGACTTGTCTGCTCCAACAACATTTGGAACTTCTTTTCCAAGCTTTTCAGCATAGAGGGGAAATTTTGAACAATAGCCTGGATCAAGTAAATGGCAGCAAAAAATTTATCAAAGCATTGACATTAAATTACTATTGACTGATTCCTACAACCACAGAGGCTTCCTTCAATTTGGTTAACATAGCCCAAATAATTTAAAAATCTTATAGTAGCTATCTAATCACTTCATATTCAAAACCCTCTGCACTTTTTGAAATAATTATTTAAACATAAGGACTAATTAACATTGCTAGAGAAAACCCACACAAGCATGAAAACCATTCCTTAAACTTGATGGCTAAAGCTTTTGTATTTAAATAAGTTCATTCCTGAGGTATCTAAAGTCTAAACTAAACATCTTTCATCGCATTTTCAAGAATTGGATCCTCAACATCCAACTACAATGCAAAGATAAGTGGACATGTATCACACCCTATGCAACTGAAAAATCCATGTACTTCAACTTGTTTTGAAACTTTCTTTATATTCTTTGTTTATTTTGTTGAGCTTATGTGCATTTCAATAATGTTTATTAACTCTTAAGTGTCTTTTTGAGTCTCTACATTTTGAAGATATCCAAAAACTTTCAAGAGGTCTTATCAAAATGTTTCAAGTTTCAACACTCTTCGATATTTGACAAAACTGGTAACCAGAAAAATTTCAAAAGGAAGGAAAGTGACACAAGGACCAGTGTAACATAAATACATCTGTATCCCAACACATTTCCATTCAAGTTTGAATTTTAGCATAAGGCAATGAGGGATCCATCATTTATGATTTGTTATTCTTCAAACCTGAAGATATGTCATGTGCAGAGTGTTTAAACAAACATATCATAACCATGCTTAAGCATCATTCATAGAGCATAAGCTTTTAGGATGAGACAATGAGTAATTATTTGGCAGACATAATAACAACAAAAAATCATTTCTGATTGCACCTGAATAAATTCCCCATTGTTGAAACTAACCTTTAATCCCCAGATATACACAACAGAAAAATAAATAAATAAATAAGCACCAGTGTTTGAAAGTTTTGAAATTTCTGCTAAAAGAATAAATGCTTTTGTAAGAATTTATTCTGTAATAATCCATTTTATGTATGCAATTTATCCAAAAGGCACCAGAAAGTTAAGGTCCTTTTGATCAACTAATATTATGAAAATATATTTTATTTTTCATTGTCAAAAACTTGAAATAAAATTTCAAATAAGACATGATTTTAACAATATTAACCAGATTAGATTTCCAATCTCAGTCCAAACTCTAAACTGTACAGTGCCTTTACAATACAATAGCAAAAGTTTACCTAGACATCAATTTTATACCAAAATAAATTCCTCCCACTGAAAGTGATTACTCTAGCTTTAAAGCTCACCCAAATGCATCATTTGAATCACTAAGAATATAAGGCAACTATGATAAATGGTTCATGCTTTGACAAACATGACACATTCTTGCAGAAATTGACCAAACTCTTTCTTTTCTATTATTTTAACAGCTCAAAAAAATGCATATCAGCCAAGGACTTGAGGGCATATAGAGTGTGAACTATCTTGAAGTTATATAACCATTTGGCTAATAAATTTTTTATTAAACCATACATACCACAACATGACCACCATGTAAAATATACATTGAAGCAAGATATACACGACAAGAAGTAAATTAGTACCATGAACATATTGTGCCAATGTTTAGTTTAGCTACTTTTGTTGAATGGTTCATCAGTCATTATCACACCTTCCTAATTGGCATTGTCCATGTTAGTGTATCTACTTCAAGTTGTATTAGTTCAGTATAGCTGTAAACTCAACAAAGCATTGTATAGTCTCAAACAGGCACCTAGAGCTTGGTTTGAAAAGCTTGCAAGCAACCTTCACATTTATGGGTTCAAAACTTGTTGCTATGACTCATTTCTATTATCTTAACCACATCAACCCACACTCTATATGTACTGGTCTATGTGGATGACATACTAGTTACTAGAAGATCAACCATCATGGCGGACAGTGAAAAAACTGCCATAAAATTATGGCAGATGCCATGGCGGCATATGACCATCATAATGAAATAATTTAATACATGTATTATATCTACAAAAATATATAAAAAGATACTACAGAATGTGATTTAAAACCAAAAACTAACTACATATGAAAGAAAGAAGGTTTAGAGGAAAAAAGGATAAAATGGTTGTAAAACATAGAACAAAAGCTGAAATTGAGACAAAAAAATAACAGAGAATTAAAAAATAGAAATAGAGAAGGAAACTTGAAAGTGAAAACAGAAAATTAGAATAAAGAAAAACAGAATAATAAGGAAAAACAAAAAAAAGGGGGGAAATTGAAAACCAAGTCAAGGAGAATAGGAAAAAAAAGAAGAAGAAATGGAATGGAATGGGGGAGGAAAATAATAAAGAAAAAAACTAAAAATGTCCATTCACCAGAAAAATAGGCTCACTGGAGTGGTGACAGCCACAATCGCCCAAGATGGAGGCAGCGATAGTCATTGGAGACAAGGTTGTGGTGGTTGCCAGGAGAAGAGACGTTAAGTGAGGGAGAAAAGAAACATTGAGCAAATGGAAAAGAGATATGCTGAGAATCAAAGACGAGAGACTGGACAGAGAAGAAAGGTGTTGCTTGTGAGAAGAAGAGAGCTGTTACAGTGTTTTTCTTTTTGCAGGTCACTCTGGACTGGATCAGGTCAAAGTCCCAGTTTGTTTGTTTTTTTCAAAATCCCAACATTTCCCGCCATGACCATCAAGTGTGTAACGACCACCATGGCCTGACATCCTAAATCTGCCATTTTCCACCACATAAATGGTAGCTTGTTTGAAAACCGCCATGGCTGCCATTTGACAACAGTGAACCAGCTGATAGCCAAACTCAACTCTACCTTTTCCCTAAAACAACTTTGAAACCTAGACTACTTTCTACAAATTGAAGTCAAAAGACACTCTAAAAGGTCACTAATCTTATCTCAAACAAAATACATTTGAGACGTCTTGGCTAAAGCCAAGATGAACAAAGCAAGAGACACAAGTACCCCTATGGTTGGTGGTTCAAAATTGTCATGATTTAGTTCAGATTACTTTCTTGAACCAAGTCTCTACAGAACAATAGTAGGAGCCCTACCATACGCTAGAAAAAAAAGACCTGAGATCAGTTTTAGTGTCAACAAAGCATGTCAGTTTTTATCTCAAACTCTTAAAAGTCATTGGAAACTTGACAAAAGAATTTTGAGGTATCTACAAGGTACAATTTGCTATTGGCTACTTTTTAGACCTGCTGTCACATTCACCACTCTGTATTTGTGGCTTTTGTGATGCTAATTGGCATCAGATCCTGATGACAGAAAATCAACACCTGGAACATGCATTTATCTTGGTCCTAATCTTATATCTTGGTGGTCAAAAAAACAAACCATGGTTGCAAGGTCAAGTGCTGAAGAAGAATACCGTAGCTTGGCTGCTGCAGTTGCAGAAACACTATGGTTCAAGTCTCTACTGCAAGAATTGACAATTTCTACCACATCTCCTATTGTCTACTGTGACAACTTAAGCACAGTATCACTTGCTCACAACCCAGTCAAATGGAACTGGACATGTGACCTACATTTTGTAGGAGAAAGAGCCATAGATAAAAGTCTCATTGTTTATCATATTCCTCCTCATGATCAGATTGCAGATATTCTAAGCAAAGCTATTGGAAGTAGCAATTTCAGTCATCTTAGAAGCAAACTCACCATAGTTGATTCATCCTTGATCAATCAACCCTTGAGTTTAAAGGGGGAATGTTAGTGTATCTACTTCAAGTTGTATTAGTTCAGTATAGTATTCCTTCTCTTACACAGTTATAACAACAACAACAACGAAGCCTTAATAGGTGAGGTTTGACTACATGGATCACACGACAGTTGAACAACCGTCACTAATTTAGTTACAGGTCTCAATGCAAAAGATTCTCAATTCATTGTATCGCTATATAAATACTGTAGTCATTGTAAAATTGAGTGGCAATAATACAATTTTCAGATTCTCAGTTTTCTCTAACTCTCTTTTATATCAAATTCTCTCATACTTAATAGTCAAATACATTGAAGCATGATACATATAACAGGAAAATTAGCATCATGAACAGATTGAGTCATTGTTTAGGTTAGCTACTTTTGTTCAATGCTTCCCCAGTCAATATCGCAACATCTTAATTTACATTGACTAGTACTTAATTTCATTTTCATGAAGCATGGTCAAATAATTTATCCCCCTTCCCCCCCACCCAAAAGAAGGGAACTAACTAAAAGAAAGTATACTAAGATCCAATTACCAGCAGAAGATTCACAGAAGAATCCTTCAAATCCTTATTTCCACTTTCATTATTGGAAAGATAATCTAAGAGGCATTCAACATGATCTGAGCTGAAAATGTTGGATGAACATTTGGACAAGAGTGAATGTAAAAACTCATAATATGGATTGTTGTCTCCAATCACTACCAGTTCATCCTGCAAAAATGACAAAAATAGACAAGATATAAAATGGGATAAATGGATGTAAACAAAGACAAAAACAATTACTTAGGGAAAAAATAAGAATAAAAAAATGCAAAGAGGTGACACAAGATTTATACATAAGCTCAAGAAACTTCATAAATGAAAAAAACTGCTAACAATTTCTCAAAAAGCAGAGTGAATTAATCTATCCTAAAAGCAATTCAATATGTAAGAGCAGTCACAAATCATAGTCATACAACACACACCTATACCAGAACCAGTAGTGACAATTTTTCTGATCTATTAAGTGAAATCATCATTGCAGAAGTCATTTACCATGGAAGTGAAAAACAAAGCTATTGGAGGATTATAAGCAATGAAAGAAAAAATATCAGAGAACCACAACCCCCTTATCTCCAACAAAAAAAAAAAAAATCACTTCCAATCACAAGTGTTATGGAAAAATTATATAGGAGGACTAATTAAGTACAAAATGCATCACTAACAGTTCCCGTTAAGCTGATGCCCACAGGCATGCACGCACACAAAAGAACACTATGCTTGACACTCTTCTATTAGAGTACTACAGAGTATAGATACATAACAATTCTCAATCTGCATAAGGTAATACTGTAAACATCAAACTTGATAAATAATCATCTTTTTTTATCAGCCACCTCATAATTTACATATTAACAGCCATACGAGATACATTAATACAAGACAGAGAAGACCAAACAATCCAAAAATATTCAAACAACTCCATTAAGTATCTCATTCTCAGGGTCGTTCTGGAAATTTTATACTTTTGGCACAACAAGCAACAGCTTCACGCATTTAAACAAAAACAATAAGACTCAGCTCCCCCATTTCCATTTATCAATCTATCTATCCTTATCAACAGTATTATTATATTTATTCCACCACCAACAAATCCAAGAAACCAAACAAGATAAGTTCAATTCAAGTACCAAATTGATGTATTATATAATACAATACATGCACCCAAAAGGACCAAAGGCCAAAGCACTACCTATACAATTACAAGCCAGCATGCTAGCAACATGCATACACAGATTCTCAAATAAAAACTCAGACAAATGGCTGAAATAGAATACTGTGTGCATAAAATAAGCAACATAATTGGATAAAGAAACAACATACTTTAATAGTTTGTCCAGTATTGAAGGTTTGTTCCTCCAAAAATTTTTCAAGTAATTTAAACACATTATTATCTTTAGTCTGGTTTAACTTGTGAAGACACTCTTCTGCTTTTTGAGAATCCGGGAAGGATGTTGCTATTGTTGTAAACATACTTTCAATCTTCTTGTGTATTTCTTCAGAACAAATTTCCTGAAAAAAGCAACGACACTCCATGATAACAGACCTATCAAATCATACGCAGAAAGCATAAAAGTGCCCATTCGTTATGCTGACACCATTACTTAAGTTCTTACGTATTAAATTTATCAATTGGGGGAAAAAGTAAGGATTTACTCACAGTAAAACTTTTCTAGTTTAAAATTCAGTGAACGAAGATTTCTACCCCATAAGAATGGTAAGTAGTAATTATTGAAATTCAACCATAATAAGCATGTACACAGGCTAAACCTTTACCCTCATGACTCTCTTGTTATCATGAGAACCATCATTCTTGTTCTATATTGTCTAACCAAAAAAAAATATGATATTCATTACTATCCTAGTTACATACATATGAATGTAACAACACACTATGTTTCCCACTCCCATATTCAACACTCTGAAATTACAAGTCACAAAGCTCTACTCAATACTTACTAATAAGTTTGTGTACAATATTCTAAATATGGCATTTCATCACCAATATATTAACAATTTAGTCAAGTATAAGTATTTCACCTATTTCTAACAAAAAGGTTCCCTTATTATGAGTAAAAGCTGCTAATCATTGAATTTGTACCTTCAAATTCTTTCTCATAGCCAAATAGTTTTTCATTTCATTTTGCAACCTGAAAAAAGAAAGACAAAACAAGTTGTAAACAACACTCTGCTTTCATCATGTTCACAGAAGCATGTTGGTATCAGTACCTTCTTTTTTGAGTCAAAATAGAATTTAGTGCCTTTTCATGAGGAGAACTGAAAAGAGAAAACATATGTATCCAATGCTTTGTCCTTTCCTCAACAGAAAGATGTTTAGGGAATAGATCATCAGCAAGAACAAATTCCATTTTCTGCAACCTGAAATTCTATCAAAAATAACCTTTACTTCTGACAAGAGAACTCTAATTTTGATTCAATTAGTGATCTTGAGTGCATAAGCTGACCTGAACTCCACACAATCTGTATCGTAGCATAGCATCATAATTTTACATGGAATCTCTTCAAACTGATCACTGATGATCATGCTGCCATTGTAACATTTGTTGCAGTAATCTTGATATACCTCAATCAACTTCTGCAAGGCCCTCTTTCTAACAGATATCTGGAAAGGCAATACAAATTAGTAGGAATTCAGTATTTTGTCCTTAAGGCATAAAAATTTGACAGCACATGCCTTTTTATCCCGAAGCCTTCCAGTGGCTTGAGATATTAGTTTGGATGGAACAAGTTTCAGGTTTGAAATGGAAATATCACAGGCAACAAGAACTGCCAGCATTCTCACTCGGTCATTTACATCTAATAATCGACCTTCAACAGAAGCTGCACATTTGCAAGGTTATCAGGAATCACTTGGATGAAATTATGAGGACATTTGATTATTGAATATGGAACCAAACTACATAATAGCAATAAACAGTAAATAAGGACAAGAATATTTGTTAAGCAGCGTACTGATAATTTCATGTGATTCTCTCCCATGGGGATTTGCCAAACAGAGAGCTTTGGCACATTGTAGAGCACTAATCCTAACATCCACAGATCTATCAGAAAATCTTTTCAAAAACTCCACAAAAAGCTCATGATACTTCTGTGCTACATGATGTTCAGGAAGTGCAAAAAGCTTTCCCACCAAATTAACAGCTTTTATCCGAACATCAACCTGATCAGCCTATGGAGGGAATTGTAGAAATAACAAAAAGAATAAATATATTAATATATTTGAAGAAAAAGAACAGAATAAGCACATAAATTTAAAGCAGCTTCATCCTGTATAAAATTTTCAATTTTGCCTAAAAGGAGTGACATACCAACAGCTCTATAATTAAGCTGGGGATGACAGCAAGAAGCATCTGAGGTGCACACTGGAATACGTTAAAGATAATTTCATGGTAAAATTCTTTAAGTACACAGCTTGCAGCTTCTCCATCATGTATGCAAGCAGTTAAAAGCTTAGAAATTAGGCGGGTAAGCTTATCCTCTTGTGCACAAGTTTTGATGACTGATACAGCCAGTTCATAAGCAGCAACAGTTGCTTCCTGTTGTTTAGTTAAAAACAGCTAAGTGATATCTTGAAACAATCTGGGTCCGTTTGACATAGAAATGTGTTTTCAAAACCCAAAACATTTGAGTAGAGAAAAGAAAACTTTTTACATATAATAAAAATGGCTAGTACTCCATAATTATGAGCAATGGCATTCCTAGTAACTAAACTGAAAATCAAATTGCTCAATAATTTGCATGCCACCTCATAATGCATTAATCTAATCAAACTTTACAAACCAAGCCAAAGTATAAGATTTTAAACATCGATTCTATTCAGTTTTGCACTGTAAAGATATAGTATTATCAAAGAACAGGGAATAGCCAAAACATGGCTAAAAGAATGGCTTCTCACAACATGAATGCAGTGAAGATGATTCAGAATTTTGGATAATTTAGTTAAGGTGGTTTGGATTTGGACACACAAAAAAGACCACTAGAGGCACCAATGAGGAGAATGGATAGCATAACTTTTTTTGGCCCAGTGAAAAGGAATAGAGAAAGATCTAGAGGCACTTTGGAGGGAATTATTAAAAGAAATTTCATGGTCAATAATATGTTGGAAAATTTAGTTTTTGATCGAGCTCAATGACATCATATGATCCATGTAGTCAACCTCACTTAGTGGGATAAGACTTCATTCCATTGTTGTTTGATTGTTAGTTATTACATCAAGCAGATATTTTACGGCAAATTGTTCACTAATAAAGGTAGACATAGTCAGTCATCCATTGCTTTTCAAGAACATTTTAAATATGTTGTGTATCTTGATGCAAAAAATACATAACATTAAACAACTTGAATAGAAAACAATGAAGCACACTTTTTGGACAATAGCCACATTCTTGCAAAGAAAAAAGGACAAATAAATGAAAATGCATTACAGTCAACAATCTTTAATCACAACAATCTTCTCTGTATGAGGCTTGTAAACAAAATATTAGAAAAATACACTAAGATTAACCAAAATAAAATAAAGGGCTCTTACTTTTTTGCGCTTTATAAGATTTCGTAAAATCACTTCCAATAGTCGTTGCTGGTGCTGAAAATCCTTCTCACTCTCATTCAAACTGGTTATCATTATAGAAGTCATGGCACTAACCAAAATATCATGGTGATCATCTCTGCAAAAGACGTGAAGTAGATTAGGTGCCATTAACTCTTTCATTAAAATTAACAATCATAAATGGACTGCATTCTTTTTCTGTAGTTATTAAGGAATGGCTGTTGCAGTGGCACAAGAAACTACTAAGGTTATTAAACTACAACCTTCCACCAACTGCTGCATTCCATGACTTTGATATTATTCAGGGCCAACGGATAATATATGACAAATACAGTACAAGCTAATACCTAAAAATTTTGTCTCAGAACTCGGACACCGTTTGTTACATACAAATAGACCTTGTGAGGAATTTAACAAAAGCTAATAGGTTTGTTTCCAATTAGATAACAAGTTCAGAAAGCCAGTAAAATGGCTCAGCACATGGAGGCAGATAGAGAGAGTAGATCTTAACCTCACTACTGAGAAGAAAATGTTGAACATCTCAAGAACCAGGTCTACGCCACCAATATCCAGCATTATCACACAACACCTTAATTGAGCCACGGTGTCCAATACTTTAACCCTTTTCGAAAATAATATATCTCCAGTATCAGCTAGATCCGCAAACAAACTAATGATAAGTTTAAATACATCCTAAATCAAAGAACAAATAAATCTGCAGTCAGCACAATAATTAAAGTAGTATACGATTTAAGCACTGAAGTGCTTACAAACATAACATGCAAAGAAAAATGGAGGGGGGAGGAGGGGTCAACTATGCTACACGTAATGGGTACCCTCAAATGCTTCTCTTCAAAAGGACATTCAGGTGCCTCGAGTCTAAGAAGTTCAGTGACACAAATAGCAACTAGAAGCCTAACTTCCTTATCTGCATGTTGAAGCAAACCACCGCAAACCACAGCATTTGCCAGAGGCTTCAAAGCAGCTTTTCGTTTATTAGTACCTTGTGCTGCTCCTTTGGTTCCCACTTGAGGACATTGTTCTAACTGAGACAAAGCATTTGCAGCTTGCTGCAAAAATGCATAAAATAATAATCAACAACAATAACAATAATAATTATTATAATCAACAAATTAGATTCGTACCAGAGTAAACTGAAATCGACAACAATGGAGCCACAAAGTGACTGATATATGCATAGAATAATAACTAATTATCCAGTTAATCGCAACCGTCTAACTAATCACCAGCTAAACGAATTTAATCTGTTGCGGTAACACTTGAGACTGAGAATTCAAACTACGAAGTACAAATTCCCGCATCAATTAAGAAATCTATTACCAATCCCAATGCAATATAGGTCAACGCACTTACAAGTTGGTTGCAAACGATAAGAAAACGCAAACAGCTTCATAAACGAATGATAGGACCGAATTCAGAATCAAAAGATAAAAGAGTGCGAAATGCACCGTCTGGCTTTATAATTGGTGCGAGTGTCACGTTTGATAAAAGAAAATGCAACGGAAGAATGAGTTGGTTGCGGAATGCGTGGGAAGGTGAAGCTTACAGTGAGGGATTTGACAATGAAGTCCTTGTTGGGACGCGTTCGTTGTGCGAGGTGAGTTCCGATTTTCGAGAGGAGTTGCAGAGAGGACTTGTCCATGGAGGAAGTAAAGAAAGAAGCAGGCAGAGAGAGAGAGAGAGAGAAGCACAGTGGTGAGTGGAGGATTGAATGCGTTTTGAGCTTGCTCGGGTGTGTGAAGCGAAGGGAAGTTTTGCTTGCTTTTGAGCACGGATGATCCCGCCCTCGCACGCGCGTGAGGTTTAATCGCCAATGTCACAACGAAATTCAAAAGGAGAAAACATACCGAAGGGAATGAAATGAGGTCGAGTCGTTTTCTCTCTTTTTTGACGGGTATAAATATTTTAAAACTATTCTATTCACCGTTAAGAAAATTTGATATATCTAAATACACGTGTTAATAGTTAGTTAACACTTTGTTTGTTTTAGTAAAAAGGAAAATGTAAGAAAAGAAAAGTATAGAAAATAAGAGCATGTTTTTTATATTTTTTTTAAAAAAATAGATTTCTTTTTTTAAATGAAAATAAACATGCTCTAAATATGTTTAATTTTTTAAAATATTTTTTTATTTTATGCTTTTATTTTTAATTATAAAATACTTATTTTTTATATTTTATAAGATTTGTATAGAAAATATAGAATTAAAAAAAATTATTTCAATGTCTTTTTATGAATCTTTGGAAATAAAAAATAAAAATATTTTTTTAAATCAAACAGCCTCAAATTTTTGCATTTAAATGTTTTGTCTCACACAATTGAAAAATATTTTTTTTATTTGAGCTTTTACTATTTTATTATCTTACACAAAATGGTGAGATTTTAGATAGGGAGAAATGTGGAATTTTAAAATTTTGTATATTTTGTTAAAAATAATTAAAAATTATATGATTGAGAAAATTATTATTGTTAAAATATTTAATTTTTTGTTTAAAATTGTATTTTTATTATAAAAAATTATATAAATTCCCTTTTGTATTTTATTTATTTATTTATCTAAATAAATAAAATAAATTTCTTTTATTTTTTTCTTATTTGTATTCATTCAAATGGCATATCTCGTTCGTCTTTTTCATCATCTATTATTTATTTTTTTTACTTATTTTCTTTCAATTCTTTTTTCTTTCATCCAAATATAATATAAAAGTCTCCCCCACTTAATTGCTGATTTAGTATATTAGTTTATCAACTCTCAATTTTTTTCAGTTTAGTCTTCTATTTTTATTTTTATTTTCTTAATTTATACAATTGTTTCAAATAAGTCTCTTTTTTATTAAAAAAAAAAAAGAATGTTAATTATGTTAAAAATATATCACATACCTCCATAATATGTTCTTCCTTTCTGAAAAAAAAAGTTTTATTTTTCTTATTTATACAATATATACATGACTAAATTATTTATTTTATTTATAAATTAATATAAATATGTGATTTTATACTAATACAACCCATGAAAAATGGGTAAATTGGGTGAGAAGGCATTTCAAATTATATGTTCTTACACTGCACGCATAATAAATGAAATAATGGAGATGTAAACTTGCTATGAATGTGTTTTCATTTCCCCTCCCTTGCGTATTCAATTTTTATTATTAAATTATTAAATGAATATTAATAATTAATAAGGGTGTTCAAAAAATCTAATTTTATAAATCTAATTCATAACCAATATTAAATTGGTTTTAAAAATCTATATCTATATTCAACAGATTTTTTTATTAATTATATTTGTATAACTAGTTTAGTATATAAATCTACTTTTTAAAATTAGATTTTTTTTAGTTATTCTCTCTCTTTTTTTTCACCTTTTTTTCGGTATTTTATTTCATCCTTTTCATTACTATGAAGTGATATTCATTCTCTTTAGATAGGGTTTAACATAAAGAACTCAAGAATTAACCTGATTTTTTATAACTTGTACCAACTTGCAATTATTTTTCCTTTCATTTGAGTCAATTATTTGGAATCATATATGCATGTATATTCTTAACTAGTATTCTTAACTACAAGATGAACAAAAAAAAAAGGATAGTTTGGTTAATCACAAAATCAAGTGCGTATTTTTATTTTGAGGTTATTTTAGGTGTTTAGTTTTTCTTTTATATGTGTCTATTGTTTGAAATTATGTATGCTTGTAATGTTTTCAACAAAAAGATGAATAAGATAAAAGAATGATTTGATAAATTAAAAAAATAATTTAGTAACTGTTTTGAGATTATTTTAGGTGTTTATTCTTGCTTCAATTTGTGTTTATTGTTTGGAATCGTGTATGCATGTAATATTTTCAACTATAAAAATGAATAAAAAAAAGGAATGGTTCAATAAATCACAAAATCAAGTGGACAGTTTTATTTTGAGGTTATTTTGGGCATTTACTTTTGCTTCCCTTTATGTCTATTGTTTAGGACTATGTATGTATGTAATGCTTTCAAAAAATTGATATGTGAATATTTAGATTTAAATTTTGTGAATATTGTGATCTTAATATGGTTCTACTTATCATGTGACATTGGATAGTAATTTTTGTTTTTATCTCGTAGAGTTATGTTTTTGTGATTTTTTAAATAAGAAGAATTTGATATTTATTGTGATATCTCATGTCCATTAATTGTGTTGAGATTTGATTGTTGAAGGAATAAAAATAAATTTATTTATATTAAGGTGTTAAATTAAAACATAAATAAAGAGATTAGGTTGACAAGACATTTTTTAAACTTTATTACTTGATAGCTTTTGAAAGACATTTTAATATTAAGATTCAAATTAAGAATAAGATTATTTTAATTAAGATCAATGTAACACTTTAATTTAATTTCTAAATAAATAAATTTCACAAAAATAGAAATAATAAAATTTTTCATTTAAACAGTTCTCAATACATAGTTCAATAAAGTATTTTAGAATAAGGGTGGATTACAATTTATATCAAACGATTGCTACAAGATTAATTTAAATACATCAAAGTTTTCAAAATAACTTTCTAAGACCTATAGCAGTTTCATTCATCCCTTCACTGAGTCTGATGCTGATCGTTTTGGTCCTGAAAAATAAATGTAAGGGTGAGTACTTTACACTATCACACATAAGCACAAAGACTCACCTTGCACGTTTCACACACTTACTAACGTAATTTTTAAATCATTCATCAACTAACACGAGTAATACTTTTCAACATTTCATTCCAATCCACATACACGTGCGCTCATTGCACGTCAGTCATGCTCACTGTGGCACTATGATCACAGATTCCTGATGCCCTCAACTTTAGAGACTTATTCAGTTCACACTATGAATGATCGTCGGATAGCTCCTACTCCACGGATACGTGTTTGGTATTGAGCCCCCAAGCAAATGTATTAATCAGAGGCTGGGTCAAGAGGAGAATGTGTGACGTATGGTGCACCCACGTTCACTGTTAGTGTCACTACCACTCTCTCCTTTCTACTGCCCTTATCTTCCATACTCCTAGTATATTGCTGAACCATTCATAGTTTTCAATCATTCCAAATACCATCACAATCACACCCAACATGCCATTCACACATATTTCCAACCATTCACATTATTCGGCACAAATCAATGGCATGTTAGTACACACATTCACCCACATTCTCATTCAAGGACATGTCTACCCATGTTCAACCACATTATATCCAACCACACACTTTCTATCCTAATTTCACCACAATCAAGTTATTTCATCACACATCATACACAACATCAATCACATCACACTCAAATACTCCATTTCTCATGGAAACCCTGCTACAATCAAGTCATTCACCGCACACATGTCCAATATTCATTTCTTCATGCTCAATCAAGAATCTTTTGTCAAACAAGCCTATTCCTACATTCTATCTCAATCACATTACAACTCATAGCAAATAAACAGATTCAAAACAAAAAGAGATAGCGTAGAGTCCCTTTTGACCTCGAAATGACGACACACAAACACAAATCAATGGTGAAAGCGTTTCTCACACGGATTTTCGTCCAAAATACATGAAAAACTTCATGAGAAACTGAAAGAACATGAAAGGAGAACAAAAACCAAAACCCTAACTCTTAGAACTTACCTCCAAGCATCTCAAACACAATTTTAACCTTCAATCTTACTCTCAAACGGCTTTAGAGGTAGTTTAATCGATGGAAATGAGTTAATGGTAAAGAGAATCGAAATAAAGATGAGAGAAAGAGTGGGAAATAGGTTTTCACGAACCCTAAACCCTTCAAATACCCTTCCAATCACGATATTCTTGCTATAGCGAGGTATCTTTCGTTGCTCGCTGCAACGACACCCTTTTTCACTACAACAAAAATCTCAGACAAATTTGCACTCTAGTTTCTAAATCTCGCTATAGCGAGGCCTTCTCACTGCAACGAGAATGCCCCTTAGCCTACATTTCAATTTCAGCACAACCACACTATACATATATCTTCACAATTATATTCATATCCAAATCATCACACAATCAAATGCATATTCAAACATCAATTTTCAATATTTATATTAATAATCAAATAATTTACAAAACTTGGGACATTATAATCAAGATTAATTAACATTAAGATTAATGTAATAGTATTACTTTTAAATTTCAAATATAAGATTCATATTATTAATGGAGAAATGAGGGATTATGATGGTTAAAGCTAAGTCCATAAGCTTGTCAGGCACACATGTCTTCTTCATATTTTCCCTTCTAATATATATTACTCTTCCTCTTGGCAAGTTCCACAGTCATTTATGGGATGTCAGACACAATTTTCCTTCTTTCTCTACTTTATATACATTTCTAGTTGTATTTTCTTGCTCAGTCAAACCTTGCTTTCCTTTTCCACATAGTGTCACCATGGAAAGCGGGCTAAAGCGACGTCTCTTTTGCCTACAAAGACCCGTCTTTCTTGTCTCCTTGACACCAAAGTCGCCTTCCATCTTGCTAGACAAGATAGGGGTTGTACCAATAACCCTTATTCAGTGATTAACAGGGTCATTATGTTGGAAACTAGTCACACTATCTTGGCCCGTTAGGTGTTTTGTCTATTCACCTGGATGCACTTTACCTTTCCCTATCAAAACATCTCTTCCACATGTACTCCTCCATTATGCTTTTAGATATTTTTTTTTATTTCTCTCTTGAGTTGTTGTGTCTTTTTTTTTTTTTCTAATTGCAAGAGATGTGATATGCGTTTTTCTTCTTATGTACCATGGTATGTGTGATTTATAGACAAGTTTAATGATGATTATTTATTATGTATAAGCTTCAATATTTATT